ATTTTATTCATTTGAGAGAGGGGGAGAGAAAGAGCACCTACAAGCAGAGGAGGGAGGGGAGGAGAGGGAGACAAGCAGTGATAACAGGGGATCTGCCCCAGCCTTTTGCTAGAATTCAGTCCCACAGGCAGCTGTGCTGCCCTGTGCACTCTCTTGCTCAGCTTGTCCTGAGAGATCCCTAGGGTTCCAGATCACACACCCAGGCACAGCTACTCCTACTCACCCCACCCCTACCCACATCACCAGGGAGCCCCTCCACTGCCACCAACTGGCTCTCAGGGGTCTCTGCTCTGCTGGGCTGAGGGCAGAGTGCCCTGTTGGTGTCCAGGGTTCTTACAACCACTGGGCCCACTCCCCTCGTCCCTCTTCATCCCAAGGGTGGAGCAGAGTCTTCCTTTAATTCCCCATGACCTTTCAAGGCCTCAGATTGTAACTATTGACAAGTCTCTACAGGTTCAAGGACAACAGGGAGTGATTTAAAACCACAACCAGATACAAGCCATGCTCTTCACCCCGTGTGCCTCTCCCCACCTCCTTCTACCTTGCTGCCTACTCCTACTCTTCCTGCAGGATGCCCTCCAGCATCTTTGCTCCCTTTGGAGTCACAAACCACAATTAAACTCCATTGAAAGAAGAAAGAGTCACCCCATGTCCTATTCTTAAATCTGCCCGGGCTGGCTCAGGTGGTGGAAGGTGGGAGTATCTGCTCCCTTTAGGGTAAATTCCATTTTAGTCCCACCCACACAGATGGGGTCTGCCCCCTGCCCCCAACTTCACAGTAGGACAATTACCTAAGAACTCAATTAACCAACAGCCCTACCTCCTGATGCTTGGAATATTTAATTTCAAGCATCACATGGGATGTGGCCTAGGAATATTCCACGTCTGCTGAAAAGTGCCAAACTCTGTCCTATTCATTTTCACACTCCCTCCTTCACTGAGGGTTAAAATTGAGCTGGGACATCTTTCCTAGAGACTCAAGGCCAGCGCTCCAGACCATCTGTGACCATTGCCTTGAACGAGAGGACGCACACTGTCCCCCCACCCTCCACCCCAGGCAAGCAGGCACCTGAAGCCAGGCAAAGAAGAGAAACAGGTCTACCCAAACAGCCCCAAAGCAGCACAGCGAATGAAATATCATCTACCAGGTCCCTGTGCCCTGATGGACCTTCTGTGTCTGCCTCTGCGGGAAGGAGGTGAATGCTTGTCTATCTGCGTGCCCAAATCACAGGAGCAACTGAAGTCTGCACCCAAGACAGACACTGCCTTCAACTTCTCCTGTTCTCACCAAGGTTTTCCAGGGCACAATTAGAGGAGGGAAAACTGTTGACAACTTAAGTTCTACATGTTCAAAATTGGACTCTTGATCTCCCTACCACTACGCCCCCCAAAAAAATGCTTTTCTCACAGACACACCCCTCCCCATGAATCCTCCTCAACAGTGACTTCATCCTTCCTGTTTCCCAAGCCAGAGAGACACTGGCACCCAGGGATGCCTATCTTTCTCTCTGGTCCTGCCCTAGATGGATCAGCAAAATTGGGTGCCATCACTGGAACCCAACCCACTCTCACCTGCACCCCTACCCCATAGGTCCAGGCCCCCCAGCAAGAGCTTCCTCAGGGTGGAGCATTTCCCACCCCCCACCATAGTCAATTCTCAAGGCACAGTGACAGTAGTCTTTCTGCAGAGAAAGTCAGGTGATCTCATCTCTAACTCACGCCCTCCTCAGGTGGCCTATGACACTCACTGGCCAGGTTGAAGTTTGTAATGACCTGAACTGACAGGTGAGAGGCAATCCCCACCAACCCCACCCCCCGCCCACCACCACCACCTTGCTGAACACCTGCTCCCAGCACCCTCATCTGCTTACAGTCCCACAGTCCACAGTGCTCTTGACCCTGACAACCAGACACCTCACTCCCTCCGCACTTCCTGGTCTGTCTCAAATGTCACCCACCTTCTCCATGAGTCCTATCTGAATCACTCAATTTAAAATTGAAATCCTACTCACCCTCCCTGCAATCCACATCTCTCCTACACTGCTCTTTCTCCCCATGACATCATATTTTAATACACTTTATTTTTTAAGGACCTCCATGGCACAGAAAACAATGGACTGTAATCTGTGGTTCATAATACACTCTAAGCATAGTTTTCTTTATTTAGTTTGCTAATTATTTTGATAATGTAACAGGACTCAGCCTTGACAGCATAGTCTAAAAGGTTCCTCACCACCCCAACCCTTTCTTCTGTACCCCTACACCCAGGTTAGTCCTTACCCTAAAGCCTGTGCTCATCATTTCTTTGCTTTTCTTTGGACATGAATTTATTACATCTATATGCATTCCTTCCTGTAACTACACTAAAATTCATTGGTTCATCTACTCTCTGGATGATGGGAATTTCCATTGCTTCCAGGGTTTTGCTGGTTTTGACAGTGCTGCTATGAACATTTTTGTGTCTATCTGCTGGAGCACGTGTGGAAGAATTCCTACACACCTGAGAATGGAATTGTTGAGTCTCGTGGAAATAAATGAAGACCAACAAGAACAGAAAAGGTTATTTATTCAGAGCTCACTACAGCAGAGAGGTTGGCCACCATCTCTTGCACTTTGGCAGAGACTCAAAGGCAGACAGAGAGGGAGAGCTTTAGGGTGGAAAAGGAGAGGCTTCAGGTGTGCCCCGATGGGAGCCTGTGGCCCGAGGAAGGTGGAAGCGGGATAACTAGATGCAGGGCATCCTATGTGACTGGTTGAAGGGGCACATATCTGGCTCTCTCTAGTTGGTCCGAAGTTGCAAGCAGGGACAGAAATCCGGGGAAAAGCCAGTTACTGATCAGGTCCTGACTATCTGGGGCCTTTATTGCAGGAGTTATTACTTGACTCCCTGGATTGTTTGCTGGAGATAATAATCAGGCTTCTGGAAGTCTGACCTGCAGGTAGTAGATTGGCTGCCTGGACAGCTTACTTAGATAAAGCCTGGTTTCCTGGCTGGTTGCTGCAGATTATGGGTGAGAGTTCTGTTTCTATACATGGTTCGGCCATTGGCCATTTGTATGTTCAGTGTTTAGTCTCTAACATACCTGTAATACACTCATTTACTAAGTGTATTATCTCACTCCCACGACAAGGATGTTGGGTCTATGAGAATGGGAATTTTTATCTGTCTTGTTCACTGATGTATTCTTGGTGCCTAGAACAGTGTCTAGCACATTGTAGTTACTCCCTATGCATTTGTAAAATCAGGAAATACAATGTATAAAAATATCATGCTGCAGGCACATGTTTTATTTCCCTGTTATCCTCAGAAGTAAACATTGTATCACTCAGACCTAATCTCCCTCTGTTAGTGCAGGAATGTTCCCAGCCCTGGATTATTTTCCTGTGTCCCACCATGCCCAGGTATGTCTGTCAGAGTTGGTGATCCCCAGGTGTACGCCGAAGCAAATGCATCTATTTCATTTTATTTTCCCATTCCTTTGATGCACACATTAGTGTGATGGCTGGCAAGCAGTAATAAGTAATGCCTCTCCCAGCAGGTAGCATCAGCCACCATCTCCTGGGTGTCTTTGAAAACAGACCTGGGCCAGGCAAGTGGTGCCTATTTCTGCTGGAGACTTGCAAACCAGGGCCCGGCCTCCGCAGAAGCATCCCCAACACTGTGATTTGGTGTGTGCTTTTCCCTTGCTCCCTGCGCCCCGCTCCTGCAGTTCTGTTCAGGGCAACTCGCTGAAGCACCTGTTCTCTGTGAGTACTTCCCGGATGGAAGAGAGAGAGAGGACCCGAGACCTCGTGGGCTGGGTCATGAACCAGTGGGAGGAGATCACCTCCGTAGCCCTTGAGCAGCTGCCTGAAACGTTGAGGTGTGCTCTTCTGGCCCTGTCTCCGTCCCTTGATTTCCACAAGAAACAGATTTAAGTAGAAAAGTCTAAAGCATCGTTCATACGAAAGGGTACTGCATTCCGAATGTGGGTTCATCAATAATATACACTGTGTGTGGTTTCACCTTCAAGGGACACTGAGACATGTGGTCTGAAAACAACCCATTGTGACATTTTCAATATTTATGCAGAGAAAGAGAGAGCGTGAATGGGGGGAGGGGCAGAAGGAGAGAGAGAGAAAGAATTCTCAAGCAGACTCCCTGCTGAGCCCAACGTGGGGCTCGATCTCATGACCCTGACTGAGATCATGACCTGAGCAGAATTCAAGAGTCAGATGCTTAACCAACTGAGCCACCCGGGCACCCCCTCCCATTGTGATATTTTAATTTTTCAGTTCTTATAATATGTTTAGGATCTAGCCCCGTGTCGGGCTCCCTGCTCAGCAGGGAGCTTGTTTCTCCCTCTCCCTCTGCTGTTCCCCCTGCTTATGCTCTCTCTCTGTCAAATAAATAAAATCTTTAAAAAATATATATGTTTAGATATGACAGAATATAGTCAAAGTGAAGAAAGTGTTTGGGTAACTGACAATGCCTACTAATAGATTTATTCACTTATGACCACACTAGTATTTTGTGACCACAACCTGACAAAGACACAGTTAACTAGTACTGGTGATGGAGTAAAAATTCTCATTAATATGCAGTCGGATTTTAGGTTGTTAATAGGACCAGACAGAAATAACTAAAACTTAAATAGGTACACGTTGCTTTAGGTGTTGAATTTCCCCTGACTGTAGTCACTGAGATCAAAATCTGTTAGAAAAGTTGAATCCAGAGGTGGACAGACAGAGTCCATTGATACAGTGTTACCAGAATCTTTTTCCTGACTTGCATAGGGGGATAGCTGAGGCCACCAAATTATGACCATCCTATGAAAACCTATTAATGACAGATTATCCACTACTTACTCCAAACCCATCTCAAACAAACATCAGGGGTCTTACTTTGATGGGTGTAATCACATCCTTGGGTGAGACACAGTCGAGTAAGGACAAGAGAGGAGATGTTCGTGAGACTTTGCCAGTTTTATGCGGTTTATTAGGAAAATCATTGCCTTAGGTTTACAGAAACAGAAACTAGCAGAGATTCGGGATATAGAAGCCACAAAAAGAGGAGGAAAGGAATAGAAACATACATTTCAGCAGGAACATTTCAAGAAAGCATAGCATTAAAAATCATCACTCTATTGTGTTGGGCTCATACTTTGGTGATGGATGGAGGACTGTGCTGGTGTTTTCCATTTAGAGGCAGGATCTCAGGGACCAGGCGATCTGTATTAAGCTCCTCAGGCTGAGAACCAGTGTCATGTCACCCCTGTGACATTCAAATCAGGGAGGACTGGCAGGAAGAAAGAAAATCTTACCAATGGGACAGTTACCTGCAGCATCTTCCCAGAGGCCGGCCGGCCGCCTAGCAGCAACATTGCTTCTTGCAACAGCTCTTCTGCTGCCAACAGCCCTTCCCACCGCAGCAGCCATGCGAGCCGCAGCCACACGAGCCACAGGGGTGACAGCAGCGGTGGCAGCAGCAGACCACGGGGGTACTGCAACAGCCCCCACAGCAGCCGCAGCAGCAGGGGCAGCAGGCCGAGCAACAGCCCACCCGGTAGCACCTGCAGGTGGTGCAGCTGCCGCAGCCGCCACCATAGCCACCGCAGCCGCCGCCGCAGCCACCACAACTTCCGCAGCCACAGCAGCCCATGGCGTCAGGAGAGAGGACTCAGGAGGGAGTAGTGAGGAGGGAGACTCGGGAGGCGAGGGAGGTCTGGTGCCGCTGTCCGCGGGGGGAGCCCCTTATGTACCAACCGTGCAGGTAGGGACAGTGAGACACATGACCACTTCCCTGTTGCTATTTAGTTCAGTCATCATGGGAAAAACCTCATAATATATTAATGACTTCCCTTTTCGTGATGTCAGCTAGATTTATTAGGTTATTTGTTTATTTTTCTAAGTCAAATAAATGCCCTAAAAATTCCAGTAAGGGCTCCTGGGAGCCATGGAAAAAGGGGATGCTGTCAACAGCCACGGACAAGCTAAGGAAGCCCACGCAACACAACTTCCTGTGGCTGACCGCCGAGCAACAACTAACATCATGACGGGGCTATTTCCGTGCTCAGCCCAGAAGTCCTCTTACCAAAGACTAGAAAAATAAAAGGAGTGTCATGCTGAAATGGTATTGCCAACTGCAGAATCAGCCTTGCTACCCTCATCAGAGATTGTTTAGCAAAGAATGAAAGCCCTACTCCCCGCCACAGACTTGTAAAGCAGGTCACCGTGTTCGCTGAGCGGTACATTTCACCTAGTGAGGCTGCTTAGAAAGCACAAGTAAATATTTGGAAGGGCTCATCTTTTTTCTGGTACGATTCTGATTGCATTTAAAATACGAAGGCATTTCCTAATTAGAACAAAAAATGAATCTGAGTGCTTGGGAAGTTTTTATCAACTGATATCTAAGAGGAAACTCTACGTGAAAAATGGTATGACCCACAATGGCAGATAGATGAAGAGAAATATTTTAACTATGTACATCTATTTTAAAATTAATATTCAAGGCATATTTGAAAGCTACTGACATAATCCATATTGCCAGTTTCCACTGGTCTCATATAGGTGACCATACACCCAGCCTTAGATCCTTTTCTAAAGCACACACCAAATAATGGCACAAAATGGTCCATTACGGAACCTCCCAGCACAGAACATCGTCTATGTCAAAGGCTGAATGCTTCTTTATTATTGAGAAATATATTTTTTTAGGTGAGTCTCAGGCAATTATATTGCTTTGGAATAATAGATGAGGAATACTTCAGAAATACTTTGGAAAGGTAAAACAGTGGTAGGGGTTCCTCACCTTGGCACTACTGATATTTTGAGCCAGACATCTCCTTGCTGTGGGGGGTGTCCTATGCATTCTAGGATGTTGAGCAGCATCCCCAGCCTCTGACTAGTTATGACAACCTCTCTCCTGGTAATGACAACACAAATGTCTTCAGAAATTGCCAAATGTCCCCAGGAGGCAAAATCACTCCCCACTGAGATCAAGAGCCCCACTGAAATATAAGGGAAATAACCTACATCCTAGCACTCAGGCAAAGGATGAGAGTTTAAAACTAGCCCTTGAAGTCCACAAAAGGATATTGTAGGAAATTCTTTTTTCTTTTTAAATTTTTGGACAGAATCCCCGGGACATATGATTCAGGAGGGGTAAAGTACGTGGGGTGGCTGGTGAATGAGGCCAGGGAGGGCCTTGCCCACGCTGACTGACCCCCGCCCCCTGCCACCATACTGAGAAAAATGTGTGTTGGATGGAGTCAATTGAGTTGTGTTCTCATCAGTTTCTTTTGTGTCAAATACCACTGGGAGGCAGGCAGGGAGTAGTAAGAAAACGACAGGAAATGCTAGTGATGCCAACAGAATGAAATCCTAACCCCTTTTGAAAAATGAAGTAGAGCAAAGCACAAAAACAAAACAAAACAAAAAGCCACGTGAGTCTATGTTGTTTTGCTAGTCAGCACAACCCAACGTTCTGTGTTTCATCCCCACAGGAGGGGAAGAAAGGAAGACAGAGAAACTCAGGCGATGCTTGGTGAGGGAAAGGGGCGGGTGCCTTGGTTGGGCCAGCAGGCTTGCCTTCTGACTCCTGGCTGCACAAGCGCGGCTGTGAAGACAGGAAGGCAGGCAAAGGGGCCTGGGGACAAAAACTTTTTATACTACGTTGTACCCCAGGGAGCTCAAAATGGCTTCCAAGAGACCTAGGTTGCAGGGAATAGAAAGGCAGTAATTCAAGAAATAGGAAAGAAGCCATAAAAACAGAGCTGGGAGAATGCCGTGGACAAATCTGCCATCTTGTAACTTTGGCCCAAGGCTTATCCCATGCCTCCTTCCCCCTCTATTCCTGTTGCTTACAGGCTGGGTAGGAAGACCCCATCTTTTCCAAGATCTGCCACTTCGTCCTCCTCAGTGTCTTTTTGGAAGCCTTCAGTGGGATATATCTTTGGCCCAAGTTACTTTGCCTGATCACATCTGTCTTAGTTTGGGCTGCTCGAACACAATACCACAGACTGGGTGGCCTATAAAACACTCACAGTTCCGGAGGCTGGAAATCCAAGATCAGAATGCCACCATGGTGGGTTTCGGTGACAGCCCTCTTTGTGGTTGCAGACTTCCCAATGTATCTCCATATAGTGGAAAGAGGAGGTGAGAGCTCTCTGGGGTCCCTGAATAAGGGCACTAATCCCATTCATGAGGGCTCACCCTCATGACCTGATCCCCTCCCCAAGGCCCCACCTCCTAATACCATCACAATGGGGGTTAGGATTTCAGCCTATGCATTTGGGACTCACCTCCCACCAATCTGCCCCTTTCTCAGTTCACTTCTGTGTTCCTGATACAGGGATGAAAACATAAATAAAATATGATCCCAGACTTCAAGGAACTTAGTCTGGTCAGGGACACAAGGTGTATAATCTGGCAACATGAAGACAGAAAAAAGGAATAGAAAAAGTGGCAAGGAAGGAGTGCACAATGCTTTGTGGGCAGTGATGATATAGACACAAGATGTTTCAGTTGAGCTTTGAATAAAACCAGAAATCTCTCAAGAGGCCACAGGTGAAGAAATAAGGGTGGTGAGTTATCTTTCTTGAAATATAATTTTCTTTTAATGACCAGTCATGGTATTTTTCTGACTATAAAAAAATCCAAGAAATTAAACTTGGTCGTGAAGGCCAAGGTCATGTGCCATTCCCCCAGGCTTTGCAACCTATGGTGACATTTGCAGAGGGGACCCAAGTGATAATGAGACACTGGAGCTCCTTCAGAAGTGATGGGTGATCCATTGCAGGCATTTCTGCAGAGGGGCGTAGCCTCAAAGAACCACTGTTCTTCACAACATACGTTAAATATGACAGGAATTAATTGTAATCCCTGCGAGTGATGTTGAATCTCAGTTACAATGGAAAGGAAAAATAGAGCCTGGACGTTTCAGCAGTAGGTTCTGAGAAAACATGGCTGTCCCTTTGTTATGCTCAGCCAGGGTGAGGCAGAGCTGAGTCCGAATCCTGGCTCAGACCCCAGATGTGACACTCAGCACGTACCTTGACCCCTTTGAACCAATGTTAATGGCATTTACCTCCTAGGACTGCACTGACATTAACCACGATAAAGTACCTGGAATGGAGTTAAATACTACACACTTGTGATTAGTTCCTTTCTTCTACAAAAGCTAGAAATAGAAGCTACAATGATAAAGCCGGTTTCCTACATTTACTGTGAACCTCAGTAAGTACTAGTCAAGATCTTGCTGTGATTATTTTAGGCTTGGCCATACAATCTAGGCAGAGCGTAACTTACATACAGTTGACCCTTGAACAATGCAGGATTGGGGCACCAAACCCCCACACAGTTTGAAATATAACCTTTGACTCCTTGAAAACTTAACTACTAATAGTCTACTGTTGACCAGAAGCCTTACTGATAACACCAAACATTGATTCACACGTTTTATATGTTATATATATTATATACTATGTTCTTTAAAATAAGCTAGAGAAAAGAAAATGCTGTTAAGAAAATCACAAGGCAGGGGCACATGGGTGGCTCAGTCGTTAAGCGTCTGCCTTCAGTTCGGGTCATGATCCCAGGGTCCTGGGATCGAGCCCCGCATTGGGCTCCCTGCTCAGCGGGAAGCCTGCTTCTCCCTCTCCCACTGCCCCCGCTTGTGTTCCTCTCTCTCTGTCAAATAAATAAAATCTTAAAAAAAAAAAAGAAAGAAAATCACAAGGCAGAGAAAACACATTTACACTGTTGTACTATATTTATCGAATAAAAATCCACTTATAAGTGAAACCATGGAGTTCCAACTGAGTTGTTCAAGAGTCAACTGCGTATTTTTCAAATTAAACATGGATTATTTCAGTGATAAGACATTCTGGAAAAGGTAAAACTGGAGACAGACATTTGGGGGGAAAGAGGGACAAATAGGCAGAACACTGCTCTGTATGATACTATAATGGTGGTTACCTGTCATTATACATTTACCAAAACTCAAGGAATTTATAACCCCAAAAGCGACCCGGAGAGTAAAGAGTGGATTTCGGGAGACAATGACACGTCGTGTTAGGTTCCTCCATTGTGACAACTGTCCCACTCAGGGGCAGGACGCTGATGGCGGGGGAGGCTGCATGTGGGGACAGGGAGTGCATGGGGAATCTCAGAACTTTCAGATCAGTTTAGCTGTGAGCCTAAAACTGGTCTAAAAAATATAGTCTACTTTACTCTGAAACCAATAATACATTATATGTTAATTAATTGAATTTAAATTAAAAAAATAAAAGATTCCAAAAATACATATATATAATCTACTTTAAAAAAAAAATAGACATGACTTGACCTCAACGAAGGAAACTGAGGCACAGAGGGACCATGGCTTTCTCTGGGCCTTGGAGCCAACTTGGCTCCGTCCACTACCCCATGAGTGCAGAACACAGGGAGACATGAGCTGGCGTGGGAAGCTCATTTTGAAATACATCATCACAAGCCCTCCAGCCGCAGAGCAATCCCTTTCCAAGTGACTTTCCCATATTTTGACCCATGATCCAAGGACAAAGTGAATCTGAAAATCAATGAGAAAACTGTTGGACTTTCTAGCCTCAGCGCTTTATGACATGTGAAAAGAGGCAAATGGGGATGCTTTGCTTCCCCAAGGGGGATCCCACCTTCTCTAGCATTCAGCAAAGACCATCTGAAAGAAGAGAAGGGTCCGTCTGTAACCAAGGGAAAGACACACACTTGGCAGAGGGATCCTGATGCTCACAGGATGCATGAGCTTTCATCAAGGGAGAGTCCTTGCACTTGAAGGTCATCCTTGCACTTGAAGACTGCTAGATGCAAACAAGATTAAACGTTTCAGAAGCATGTTGTCTTATTAGGTGCACAACTTGAGGAAGAAGCAAATGCTAAAACAAGCCAATTGTATGAAGTCAGGGGTGTTCAATGAGGAAATACATTCAGGGTCTTGTGGAATTCGGCCAAGGAAGCTGGTGGAAACCACAACAAGGAAGTGGCCACATGCCCTGAGTTGGGCCCCGAGGTGGATATATAAGGGTCAGTGAAGCAAAGGGCCTCAGACCTCCCTCGCCTCCCGAGTCTCCCTCCTCACTACTCCCTCCTGAGTCCTCTCTCCTGACGCCATGGGCTGCTGTGGCTGCGGAAGTTGTGGCGGCGGCTGGGGCTGCACCACCTGCAGGTGCTACCGGGTGGGCTGTTGCTCGGCCTGCTGCCCCTGCTGCTGCGGCTGCTGTGGGGGCTGTTGCAGTACCCCCGTGGTCTGCTGCTGCCACCGCTACTGTCACCCCTGTGGCTCGTGTGGCTGCGGCTGGCATGGCTGTTGGCAGCAGAAGAGCTGTTGCAAGAAGCAATGTTGTTGCTAGGCGGCCGGCGGCTCGGCCGCTAGCGTGAGAGATGTTTTGCTAACGGCGCTTGGTAAGACTATCCTCCATCCCTCCCGCCTGCTTGCTCCTGCTCTATGCACTTTGATGTCTTAGAGCTGCTCATTCTGTCCTGGTGCTCTGAAGTTTCAGCGCTGGTTCTTCCCCTTCAGTGTGGTGTCATGACGACACCAATTTCTTCTCCCTGTACTTTCCAGAAGGTAACGTGAAGCAGGAAACAGTTCTCTGTCATCTTTGAAATCTTGTCCCTGTTTGGAAGAAAGATAAATCATATATTGTCAGCCTTACGGAGTGGGAACACAGGCACCCAGGTCAAACACCGATTTATATTATAAGCTTGATAAAGTAAAATCGTGAATAGTTAATATTTAATTTTCTTCAAAAAATTACTTATGATGAACGTTTCTATTGTACATTCCCTTCTTTCCATTTCTATGTCTCTGAAAAAAAAGGGGGGGGCAATCTTTCTGAATAAAAAAAATTATTCACAATATTCTAATGTGTCTCTCTGTTGTATGTGTCCCCTCCCATGACTGAGGCCAATGGAGCAGAAGAAAAGGGTGATATCGAAAGACTTGGGATAGTTTACAGTTCATGGGTGATTGGCCCTATACTGCCCTTTCTTTAACAAGAAAGATAGAAATTGGGGGTGGGGGAGGTAGAACCCCAACTTTTGGTCATCAGGGTCATTGAAGGAAATTCCTGGGCTCTCCTACACGTGCCTTCCTGATGTCTGTGTCTGCAGCTGAATTCTGGTTGTAAGTATTGGACAGCCCCACCCGGCAGGTCATATTTCACTCCAACACTCTGTACATTTCACTCATTCATTCATTCAGCAGACATGTTAAGTGCCATGTTAGGTATTTAGCCAAGCACCAGGGATCTAAAGAAAAACAAGCCTTTGCCTTCAAAGGCTCTCTGAGAGAGAGAGAGAGAGTCAGTTACAAAACAGCATCCTATGTCAGGTTTCTTTGGTCACCCTTTCTCCACTCCTGTGTCAACGACTCAAATAGATTTTTGTGTATATCATTGCAGCCATATTGCTGAGTACAAACATAAGAGACACTCAGTTCATTTGCTGGGTAAGATGACCAAGTGAGTGGTTGACAATTTCCATGGGACTTTTCCCTGGCTCCCATGGCATTTGACACAAATAAGCACCCGTCCTCCCTAATAAACTTTGTCTCCCAGCTTTTCATCCTCCCCCTAGTGACTCCCTCTCATCCTCTGTGTGCTTGCCCAACATGGACACCCCAGTGCTCAACCTAACCCTCTCCTCCATCATTCTACATCCTCATCTGTCTCTTCTCTGTCATCTTTTTTTTTCCTTTCCATAGTACCTAACACTTTCTAACATACCATAAAATTCAGGAATTTATCATGTTGATCCCATGGTGTCCCCTCTGTCTCACCCCACACAGAAATGTACATTCTACAAAGCAAAGATTTCTCACTCTTTTGTTCACTGACAGTATCTCAAGCACCTAGAACAGCATCTGGCACATAATATATACTCAATAAATAGCTTGGGGTTTTTTTAAAGATTTTATTTATTTATTTAAGAGAAGAGAGAGAGCATGAGCAGAGGTTGGGGGGAGGGGCAGAGGGAAAAGGACAAACAGACTCTCCACTGAGCAGGGAGCCCGACTTGGGGCTTGATCCCAGGATCCCGAGATCTTGACCTCAGCCAAAGGCAGATGCTTAACTGACTGAGCCACCCAGGCACTCCTAAATAGCTTCTTAATGAATAAATGATTTTGTAAACTTTTTTTATTATGGAACATGCCAAACATAAACAGAAGTGGAGAATATAATACAACACATTCCTAAGAACCATCACCCAAGTCAACAATTATCAACATGGCCAGTCTCTTATCATCTATGACCTCATCCATACCTTTCCCACCACTGGATAATACACAACGAAATCCAGACCTCATATCACCTAATCAGCAAATATGTTTACATTCCTTCAAGTGAATGAATTCCTCATCATCTCTCTCTGACTTAGACTATGGCCAAGGGCTATCAGAGAAACACAGAAGTAAACTCAAGGTCCAAAATCAGGTCCTCTCTTGGCAAAAAGTTATGGAGGAAATCATGACACCCTGGACCTTTAAGAAAATTCTGGTGTTTTCTGGGAGGGCTTGGCAGTCAATGTACAAGGGCACTCTGCTGCACAATGAGCAGGGTACTCCCACTCCCAATGGGTAGCTTGGTAATTTATAAATCGATTTTCTGCAAATCATAGGAAGGTGAAAATAGAAAATCTAAGCCAACAGGACAGTGACTCCAAACATGTGGGGGACTTTCAATCAATTTAACTTCCAGTCAGGGTCCTTAGAAACCAAACAGTATTTATCTTTGGAGAGAGTTTTCCATTTACCAACAGATAATGAGAAAGGTTTGGGGTTTTGTTTTGGTTTTTTCCATTTTAATCAATGAGAACTTCATAATGCTTTTTATTTTTTTAACAACTTGCGTTTAACAAAAACTATTTAATAGTTGAACTATTTGTGTTAGAAAATTCTCTGTCTTGTTTCCCAAATTCCTCATATCAGTGAGCTCATAGGGGAAGGGAGGGGAAAAATGAAACAAGATGAAACCAGAGAGGGAGACAAACCCTAAGAGACTCTTAATCTCAGGAAACAAACTGATGGTTGCTGGAGGGGAGGGGGTGGGAGGGATGGGGTGGCTGGGTGATAGACATTGGGGAGGGTATGTACCATGGTGAGCGCTGTGAATTGTGTAAGACTGATGAATCACAGACCTGTACCCCTGAAACAAATAATACATTATATGTTAATTTTTTTTAAATAAAAAAAAAAAGAAAATTCTTAAAGCGCAAGAAAACCACGCCACCTCACATCCTTAAAAATAAAATAATAAAATAAAACAAAACAAAACAATAACATAAAATAACATAAAATAACACAGTGCCTATAAACATTAACTCTGGAGCCAGGATGCCCCGACAAAAATCCAGACTTCTCCGTTTACCAGACCCACTGCCTTCCGTCTCACTTTCTTCAGTGCAGAATGGGCATCCTAACTGTACCTCTCTCACAAGTTTTGGGGGAAAGTAAATGGGTTTACAGGCAAGGACATATTTATAAATAGATCCACATTGCATTCAGTTCCTCCTGCTTTATACATTGATATATCAGGATATTACCTTAAGTTGCTTCTTTCGGGTTCGTATACACTGGGTAACAGGTTAAGTGTTTGTCGGCCAACCTCCTATTTCCTCCTCTGAGTCTAAAGGTTCAGGAGGCCTGTAATTGGCATATGCAAAACGTTGGGGCGGGGCTTCAGGGCTCCGTGTGGGGCAGCCTCCCGCCCCCGCCCCTACAGTCAGTGCCAGGCTTCGCCCGATGGTCGGCCGAAGGGTCCTGTCCCGGGTGCTGGGTCTCTGGGGATGTGAGCGATCTGGCGAGCAAACACCCCCTCCTCTAGGTAAGACTAGCTCTGGGAAGCGAATTCCTGGCAGAAACACCCTCACCCCTGGGCCGCAGCACTCACCTGTTTCCCAGGTGCGGCGACGCGGGCGGGACGCGTACCTGCGCTGCCGCGGGCAGGTTGAGACCGGCCCGGATTCCTTCGCGCGCCCCCGGGGGCATCGCGCTGCGGCCCCTGCGCTCTCCCTACCCCGTGCTGAGGCTCGCCCAAGTAGGTCCGGTGAGAATCTCACTTTCAACCATCTGCCAAGCCCATTAAATGAGACCACGACTCCGGTAAAGGGCCAGCATCCCCCCATGGTTACACCCACGTGCACAGATTCTAACTGAAAGGAAACCTGAGCGCAGAATTCTAAATCCCAATTCGAAAATGGAGAAACGCCCCAGCGAGGAAAAGGGGACTTTGAAGTGAAGAGACCTGGGACTCTACTGAGACTACCTTAACTGAGATTAAAGGAAAACACAACTGTACCTTACAATAATATTTCTCGAAAGGATACCTAATTCATCAGATAACATGTATAACAATTATTTGGCAAGTCAGGGTTGCTGCTATAAATGTGCAAAAGGTGTGAGGATGTGGAGTGCTTAAAGTTTGTAAAGGGTGAAGAAAATGTTTTCTACAGATACTCATACAGAACTGTTTCGCTGCTACCAAGACTGGAACACGTTTGTATCTCCTAAGGCAAAAGGTGTGTTTTCATTAAGGTACGTATTTTAAAAAGACCCAAACATAACTAACTTCCAAATATGTTTTTCTTCACACTGCCCTAGAAGTAGCTGAAATGGACAAAAATACTAGGTTTGCTCAATCGTCATTGGTCCGAGATCATCAGTGGCTTCTCAAAGTTGGGTAATTCAAGGATAAATAATATTCAAATGAATTTAGGTGAAGTTATTTACTGTGTCCTTTTCTGAAATTACTCTCTCTGAACTATGAGTGCCCAGCCGTGTTCATTCTGGTTGAATTTGCTACGTGTGCTTGCAGGAGGCAGACGGGAAGGGAGCTTTTTGAGCAACTACTATGTGAGAAGTTGCTGAGAGGAACTGTGAGGTGGGTGTGGTTATCCACATTTTTTTTAAATAATAGAGAGAGGGAGAGCACAAGCAGGCAGAGCTGCAGGCAGAGGAAGAGGGAGAAGCAGGCTCCCCGCTGAGCAGGGAGTCTGATGTGGGGCTTGATTCTAAGACCCTGGGATCATGAGCTGCCAAAGGCGGACACTTAACTGACTGAGCCACCCAGGCGCCCTGGTTATCCGCATTTTTTCAAACATTTTATTATGTTATGTTAATCACCATACATTACATCATTAGTTTTTGATGTAGTGTTCCATGATTCATTGTTTGTGTATAACACCCAGTGCCGCATTCAGTACGTGCCCTCTTTAATACCCATCACCAGGCTAACCCATCCCAACACCCCCCTCCCCTCCAGAACCCTCAGTTTCTCAGAGTCCATAGTCTCTCATGGTTCATCTCTCCCTCCGATTTCCCCCCCTTCATTTTTCCCTTCCTAATATCTTCTTCTTTTTTTTTTTAACATATGATGTATTATTTGTTTCAGAGGTACAGGTCTGTGATTCATCAGTCTTATACAATTCACAGCGCTCACCATAGCACATACCCTCCCCAGTGTCTATCACCCAGCCACCCCATCCCTCCCACCCCCCACCACTCCAGCAACCCTCAGTTTGTTTCCTGAGATTAAGAATTCCTCATATCAGTGAGATCATATGATACATATGATCTTTCAGTCTTTCTCTGATTGACTTATTTCGCTTA